AGCGGGTTTTGCCGTAAATGGACTCTCTCNTTCTCTCTTCCTCAATTCATGCTATTTCTAGGATTTCTCATATTTTTTGCCAATAAATAATCTTGTGTAAATGACTCCGTATATATTCACACATAATCAGGGGCATAGCGGGTTTTGCCGTAAATGGACTCTCTTNAATGTGTGATAGTGTGTTTTTGTGTATATTTATATATGGATGATTAGACATTTAATAATTAAATTTATAATTTTATTGTGCCATTTGTGGTTGAATGGTGATAATGGTGATAAATTTATAAGTTTATAAATGAGTAAAATTTTGNCAGAGAGAGACAGTAGAAAAATACACTGCGGGACAAACCAAACACTTCCAAAACTTGTGCCCACACGACACGACTCTTCTGAAAACGTTAAACCCAATTGGCTTGGCACGTGTCCTATAAAGCTTGCTTTTTGTCAAGAACCATGAGTTTATTGCCACGTCATGATGTAGCACCAAAAGCTCTTTTGAAAAAAATTAAAGTTATGTATTCCAAATAAATTTATCAAATATTAAATGATGTGATAAAATTTTATGCATTAAGGGACTGTTTGATATGTGAGTTTTGGAGAGATTTTGAAACATGGGTCGGGGACTAAACCCTCTTAAATCGATATTTGGTAATTATGAATTTAACTTAGGGTTTGAAATCCGGCCCAGTCATAATCCGGTTATAAAATTCTTGTTTATGGGTTTCATGAAATTCATCGGGGTGGGTTTCATATGTGAATTTGGGGATTTTACATTTAAATAACATTTATACCCCTTATATATTCATACTCATGTTTAGATTAAATTAGTTAAGGGGGACAATAGTCATTTAAATACAAATATATTATCATAATAGTCATATATTTCTGCGCACACCAAACATGGATATGAACAGTATAAAATATTAAATCCCTTCTTTTGAATTTCATCTTTAGTCAAACTCAAATTTTGACAAGGTAATTCACATTCCTTTCAAAACACATATCAAACAGGCCACAAGTGTTTAGCGAGAGTGGATGAAGACCCGCAAAGTTAAACATAATTTGATATAATATAATTTAGTAAGTTAAATAATGCAAAAGTAAAAGGTGATATAATGCTTGAGATAGTATGGGTTGGACCGATGGTAGGTGGCGTATGTTGATTGGACGCCGTGCCGTGTGACAGGTGACAGATATTTGTATTTGTCCCCTGACGTCTAATTTAATGAGCACTAGTTTGGAAAGTTTCGATTAAACAATTGATACATACATAATAATTGAAATTAAAAAAATGCTTAAACCAGAACCCAAGTGGGGCACGTTGCTAGCTTGCTGCTGTGTTTGTGACGATGGTCTTAACCTAACCACATTTAAGCCCACAGCTCACTAACTCAGTTGACGAAAATATTTCCCTTTGTCTTTTCACTTCCAAATATTTCTGGTGTTCTGGACATTTGTACACACACAATCACGAGATGGATGGCTGATGCCCAAAACAGCCCTCCAAAGAAGACGACACGTACATATATATATATATGGTTTATGGCAGAACGTGATTCACGTAGCCGACCACACCGTGTCATTCAGGACAAAACTTAGACTTAGATGGCGATGATGATGATGATGAAGAAGACAATGACGACCATGATCAAGACAAAAAGTAATTATAATATAAAGAATAATATATAATATTATATTGGTAAGATGTGATTTGAGGCCTTTGTCTTGAAGGTAAACAGACGATAATCAAGCCACGTAGCAACCGAGCAAGCCAGCTCCTTTGGAAGACAAGCTTCAGCCACTCATGAATTTCCACAACTCATTGTCTATAATTTTGACCATACTTATCTAGAGAAAAATAACAAAAATTAAAATTTGCAATAAAGGAAGGAAGGAAGAATAATATTAGAACAGTCTGAAAGAGTGTTAGAAATTTAAAATAGACAATTAAATTACCAGAAGAAGAAACCAGAGCATTATAAGAAATCAANTTTTATTTATTACTTAAACATTGTAAATTTTAATGGATTATGTTAATATTTTTTTTTCCGGAGACATTTGTATATGTGGTGTTGTTTTGAAAAATTTTATATATTTTTACGACATTTCTATTAATATAAAGGATATGATCGGCGATATATTTTTGAGTTATTTTAAAAGAAGAATTGATATAAATATTTTTAAACCATTCTTTTTAAATTTGGATAATTTTGTAAAAAAATTTTGTTTGTTATATAGTGCCTTCAGGCACGGATAATGACTAGTATCTTATATATTAATTATTAATTTTAAAGGACTCCATTTATAATTTTTGCTTAAGGCCTCAATATTCATTCGGTTGGCACCTACCCAAAAAACCTCCTGCTTAGTTATTGGTCCATCCATTAATAGGTAGTTCAGGTCATTTTATCCTTATATCATACTCATTCTTTTAAATACACTTGACATAGACATGTATGTCGACCTCCTTTAACCACTCTTTTATACTTTTCAAATCCATTTGTATTTATTCTTGTATCTTAAAGAAATTAATTTGTCAAATTTTAGTGTTTTAATTCTACATAAATTAGAATACTAAGTTTAAAAGAAAAAAGAGAGAAGGGATGTACGAAAATTATGGAGAATTGGAGAGATAAATGAGAGAGCAATTGTAAAAGAGTGTATATTTCAGAGACTATTTTGGTTTGTCACTGTAATTTACCAATAGAAAGAGGATTTTCTCGAGGACGAAGAACAGCATTACAAGGTGGCAGGCAGAGAGAGACAGTAGAAAAATACACTGCGGGACAAACCAAACACTTCCAAAACTTGTGCCCACACGACACGACTCTTCTGAAAACGTTAAACCCAATTGGCTTGGCACGTGTCCTATAAAGCTTGCTTTTTGTCAAGAACCATGAGTTTATTGCCACGTCATGATGTAGCACCAAAAGCACTTTTAAAAAAAATTGAAGTTATGTATTCCAAATAAATTTATCAAATATTAAATGATGTGATAAAATTTTATGCATTAAGGGACTGTTTGATATGTGAGTTTTGGAGAGATTTTGAAACATGGGTCGGGGACTAAACCCTCTTAAATCGATATTTGGTAATTATGAATTTAACTTAGGGTTTGAAATCCGGCCCAGTCATAATCCGGTTATAAAATTCTTGTTTATGGGTTTCATGAAATTCATCGGGGTGGGTTTCATATGTGAATTTGGGGATTTTACATTTAAATAACATTTATACCCCTTATATATTCATACTCATGTTTAGATTAAATTAGTTAAGGGGGACAATAGTCATTTAAATACAAATATATTATCATAATAGTCATATATTTCTGCGCACACCAAACATGGATATGAACAGTATAAAATATTAAATCCCTTCTTTTGAATTTCATCTTTGGTCTAACTCAAATTTTGACAAGGTAATTCACATTCCTTCCAAAACACATATCAAACATGCCACAAGTGTTTAGCGAGAGTGGATGAAGACCCGCAAAGTTAGNGACAAACCAAACACTTCCAAAACTTGTGCCCACACGACACGACTCTTCTGAAAACGTTAAACCCAATTGGCTTGGCACGTGTCCTATAAAGCTTGCTTTTTGTCAAGAACCATGAGTTTATTGCCACGTCATGATGTAGCACCAAAAGCACTTTTAAAAAAAATTGAAGTTATGTATTCCAAATAAATTTATCAAATATTAAATGATGTGATAAAATTTTATGCATTAAGGGACTGTTTGATATGTGAGTTTTGGAGAGATTTTGAAACATGGGTCGGGGACTAAACCCTCTTAAATCGATATTTGGTAATTATGAATTTAACTTAGGGTTTGAAATCCGGCCCAGTCATAATCCGGTTATAAAATTCTTGTTTATGGGTTTCATGAAATTCATCGGGGTGGGTTTCATATGTGAATTTGGGGATTTTACATTTAAATAACATTTATACCCCTTATATATTCATACTCATGTTTAGATTAAATTAGTTAAGGGGGACAATAGTCATTTAAATACAAATATATTATCATAATAGTCATATATTTCTGCGCACACCAAACATGGATATGAACAATATAAAATATTAAATCCCTTCTTTTGAATTTCATCTTTGGTCTAACTCAAATTTTGACAAGGTAATTCACATTCCTTTCAAAACACATATCAAACATGCCACAAGTGTTTAGCGAGAGTGGATGAAGACCCGCAAAGTTAAACATAATTTGATATAATATAATTTAGTAAGTTAAATAATGCAAAAGTAAAAGGTGATATAATGCTTGAGATAGTATGGGTTGGACCGATGGTAGGTGGCGTATGTTGATTGGACGCCGTGCCGTGTGACAGGTGACAGATATTTGTATTTGTCCCCTGACGTCTAATTTAATGAGCACTAGTTTGGAAAGTTTCGATTAAACAATTGATACATACATAATAATTGAAATTAAAAAAATGCTTAAACCAGAACCCAAGTGGGGCACGTTGCTAGCTTGCTGCTGTGTTTGTGACGATGGTCTTAACCTAACCACATTTAAGCCCACAGCTCACTAACTCAGTTGACGAAAATATTTCCCTTTGTCTTTTCACTTCCAAATATTTCTGGTGTTCTGGACATTTGTACACACACAATCACGAGATGGATGGCTGATGCCCAAAACAGCCCTCCAAAGAAGACGACACGTACATATATATATATATGGTTTATGGCAGAACGTGATTCACGTAGCCGACCACACCGTGTCATTCAGGACAAAACTTAGACTTAGATGGCGATGATGATGATGATGAAGAAGACAATGACGACCATGATCAAGACAAAAAGTAATTATAATATAAAGAATAATATATAATATTATATTGGTAAGATGTGATTTGAGGCCTTTGTCTTGAAGGTAAACAGACGATAATCAAGCCACGTAGCAACCGAGCAAGCCAGCTCCTTTGGAAGACAAGCTTCAGCCACTCATGAATTTCCACAACTCATTGTCTATAATTTTGACCATACTTATCTAGAGAAAAATAACAAAAATTAAAATTTGCAATAAAGGAAGGAAGGAAGAATAATATTAGAACAGTCTGAAAGAGTGTTAGAAATTTAAAATAGACAATTAAATTACCAGAAGAAGAAACCAGAGCATTATAAGATATCAATTCCCACCGGGTTTGGCATATAAAAACTGAAACTCAGAACCCCCGGCCACGACACCGAGAAGCAATAAGTAGATAAAAATCCCAAATTAGTGATTCCAAGGTTCTTGCAACTGAATCATACAAGTTGAAGAAGGAAGGAGGCGTGACTGTGAATCCCAACCACCCAACAAAAGATGTTAGATGGAGAGGAATACTCTTCCTCGGCAGCTGTTACAGCAGAGTGTTTCAGCAGCCTGAGCACCCTGTTAAAGAAGAAGAATAAGGGAATGAACAAAAAGAGGTTCAGTGATGAACAAATCAGATCATTAGAAACCATGTTCGAGTACGAGTCCAAGCTTGAACCACGTCAAAAGCTGCAGCTGGCCAGAGAACTTGGATTACAACCACGCCAAGTTGCAATATGGTTTCAGAATAAGAGAGCTCGATGGAAGTCAAAGCAGCTCGAGAGGGACTACGCCATATTACTATCCAATTACAACACTCTAGCCTCCCAGTTCGAAACCTTGAAGAAAGAGAAGCAGTCCTTACTTACACAGGTAATATAATTTGTGGTTCTTCATCCGTTGGTGATCAAAATAGCATTAATTATTAGATGTAATTTTAAATCAGGAGGAGCTTATAAATTAAAGCTGATTTTCAATTTTTGACAGTTGCAGAAGCTGAATGATCTGGCAGGGAAATCGCGGGAGGAGAGCCAGTGTTGCAGGGAAGCATTAGCCAGCATTGATCATGGAAAAATAGAGAAGGGGCATAGTACTGTCAAGTGTGAATTTGAGGTGAAACCACCCAGTTTGTGTTTGTCCTTTGACAGATCACAACATGACGGAGTTGGTCTCTTTTGCGGGGATGATAGCAGCATAAAGGCCGAGTACCTCGTGCAGCTGGATGAAGAATCTGATGACCTTCTAAACATGGCCGATGGTTCTCCTGAAAATTGGGGCAGTCTTGACTCCAATGATCTCTTAGACCAGTCAGCTAGTAGTAATCATGAGTGGTTTGATTTCTGGTGTTGAATTAATGAAAGTTAATCTCTGAATGAATGATTATATATATATGGACGAACTGTATGTTTAGGTAGGGGGGTTGAAACAGGGAGGGCCATGGGATGATGGAACGTCTCAGCAGCACATCTATGTATGTATATACTAGAGTTTAAAGTAGGTAATCTGCATTTTGGTCGATGCAGAAGCTAAAACCTTTTTAGTTCATTGTAATTTGAGGTGCTATCTTTTACTTAATGTTGCATTGCATAGTTCAGTTGATACATACATACATATATATATATAAACAAATTTCGCTTGAAATACAAGAGAATTTTCGCACTGAACAACATTATTAGTTTGATAGATATCCATGCCCAACATTCATTATAAGGCAAACCGAGAGTAAAGAGTGGCTGCAGAGATCCTACGATAAATATAGGAACATATGACAAAACTGCAACCATTAAAGTCATTTTACATGGGCAGCCAAAGCAACACAATTTTCTTTTTTTAACCTGCCTTAAGATCCTGGGTATCAATTTGTGAATTGCCAACTATTGTAAAAGTGGTGGCCTACTATATACGCATATCAGTACATGGACTTCAATCAATCATATATATGTTCAACTAGATATCTGGAACACATGCAGCTCCTGATATCAATCAAATGCAAAATTTACTGGATCTTGCAATATGAGATAAGAAAGTGCCCTTGCTCAAAAAAAAAAAAGATAAGAAAGTGCCAATTTTAACTTTATTCCACAGTTTTTCTTGGAATTTTTTGTACCTTCTTTCCCACCTGCCCCTACAAAATCCAATTCCTACACTGTATTTTGGGAGAAGCTTAAAACTTATTCCTTGCTTACAGTGAGTGAGTATATACTATTTTTTTTTTCTTTCAAATCACAGCATCTGATTACCTTTGAGGATTTCTTTTTCCTTGGAGCTCTCTCTATATGGCACTCGAGGGAGACCTTTAGCATTCACAATTCAATGAATCAGCAGCAAAATTTACCTTGCTTTTAGGTGAAATTTCAATACATTTTAGAGTTTGTAATATATGTTAAAGAGGCTAGGTAAGAGGTTTTATTGGGGCAAAGGGAGGACACGAAAGATAAATGATCAGAACACAACAGGACAAAAGTAAATTTGTCAATAAATTGAATTTTCGACTTTCACTAGATTCAGCTATGAATCATAAAAATAAAAATTTGTTAATTAATCAAGTTACATTTTTCAAATGGGATTCGAAAGTAGATCAGACGTTCGTTCGGTCCATTGACAAATATAGTCACAAAAGAGAGAGGCTGAGAACTACAATATTTGCAATTTTTGGACAATATGCCATGTGTAATTGAAAATGAGTACTGGGCATCATTGGAATTAAATTTACCTTTTCCCTTTTCTTGTAACAAATTTCCATTAAACTTATCGCCAAAAAAAAAGGTGAATTGTACTTTATACCTTAAAAGATTTTAAGATTTCTACTTTATACACTCAAACATTAATTTTTAATATTGTACTCTTAATATATCAAAAATGTTATAATGTAATTTTTCTTCTATTAGTTTTTTTATCTGTGTCAATGAAGTGATTTTTGACAGAAAAAATAATGGAAGTTAATAGAAAGGCTGTATTACAACACTTTTGATACATTGAAGGTATAATATAAAAATTTAATTTTTAAAAGTATAAAATAAAAATCTTGAAATCTTTTAGGGTATAAAGTACAAAAAGCCAAAACTTACGTTAAACAAACTAGATTATCAGCCAGCCGTAGGGCACTGGTTCGAGTCTTATTACCCGTGTTGCACCTGGTCGTCGTAACGAGTCTAATGACATTTTTGAAGACGTGAACAAATGGGAAAATATATGGGCCAAAACCCTAATTAACAGATTCTCTGTCTAGACTCTGAGCGGAGGTTTTGTTCACTTGTAAAACGTGGGAGAGAAAAATTGAGAGAGATGAACAACCTCTCCAGTTCTGCCTTAGCAAAAGACCACCGCCACTGCTGCAGCTGCAAACCCATCCCAACTCTAGCAATCTACATTTTGGTCCCACTATTCTTCATAGGCTTCGGAGTCTCTCTTCTCATTCTTATCGTGGTGCATAACGCCATCTTCTTCGTCGCTCTCCTGTTTCTCTCAGCTCTGCTGGCTGTATTTCTGCTCTGGAACTCACTCAACTGGAGACGAAATGCTACCCTTCTTCTCCACCTCCACTCTTTCCCGGATTCTGATCTCCGCCTCGCTCCTCACGGCCAACTTGTCAAACTCACTGGGGTATTCATCTTCTCTCTTCCTCAATTCATGCTATTTCTAGGATTTCTCATATTTTTTGCCAATAAACAATCTTGTGTAAATGACTCCGTATATATTCACACATAATCAGGGGCATAGCGGGTTTTGCCGTAAATGGACTCTCTCTTTTTTCTAAAATCCAAATTATTTGATGCATTGGGTTGCTTTTTAGATTTAGTAGGGAATGTGTATGTGTTGTTCATTTCAGAAGCCACCGAGGCCCAATTAGGTGACTACAAGCTTTGTTCATTGTATGATTTCTTGCTACAGTTTTCTTGAAAAGACAAAAAAAAATGGCTATTTGAAAGTAGAGTATTATATGTTATGTTTAGTAATTACGTTTTTTTTTTTTTGGTATTACGCAACATGGCAAAATTTGACATGGTAACATCAAATACTCTGAACTTGTCAAGGTGCCAACTAGACTACCTCGTAAGCAGATGTTGTACCACAGACCAGAAATTTAATCTCATCTTCTTGCCGATTGGGGTGGATTTGGACAGAGGGAGGGTTATACCCCCTTGTGTTACCCAGTCATTGGACCAAAAAACAATAATTAACTGCGATTGTAATAATGTTAATGATGTTAGTGCTGGCATGACACTCTCTTAGTCAACGAGAATAGAAAGCTAAGAATCTATGCTGTGAGCTAACCATTACATAATTCTGGAAGTAAATTACTCAATCAGTATCTCCATATGTAAGTGCGTCTGAGGTTTTACCCTGAAGAAACCTTAAAGACACTAGGCTGCATGTACTTGAAAGTATTTCTCTCTAGATTGAGTGTTAGTAAACTTGCTTTCTTACATATAAGATCAACTGTCTTCATAATGCTGACTCTGCTTGTTTCCTGAAAATATAACTGGAGAAACACAATTGCTTTTCATCCATCCCACTTTTATTCGTTTCAGCTGGAGGAGGATATGAATTCTCTTTTAGCCTGGAGTCGGAACTCCTGGCAACTAGAAGCTGAGAGGCTTGATTTTCACTTTTGTTATCTAGGTGGGATGATATAAAACCGGGCTCTAGGTTTGCTTCTGCAAAAGCAACTCGATTGAGAAGCGTGTAATGATTTCAATTCCTGATTTGATATGAATAATAGGAGCTGATTGTGCAGTCACCACTTTTGTCTAACAATGTTCTTGGCTGAAAGTAATTTATTGGTCAGGCTTAATTTTTCATCAGCCAATCCTGTCCTGCTTTAGTGAGTGAATTAGAATTAGTTTTCCGATAATTTCAGCTTGTCTCCTGTGGGAGTGTTTCCTTGGAGTCTTCATATGAGAAGGTCACCAGATGTGTTTACACATCTACTTTATTGTATGAATCTGGAGGACTTGGTTTGAAGCCTGCAGATGCTACTGGATCATGCTTCCTGTGGAGACTAGCTTATTCTGAGGTATGCAAAAAAAAATTTTATTCCTGTTTGCCTTGGCTCATGGTTTATCTCTAGAGCAGATTCAGGTTACCTGAATGGTTGAAAATATTGTTTGTGTGGTTGAAGTTGACAAGTGATGTCAATCTGCTTCCTTGTCCTTTTATAGCCTCAACCACAATTACCAAGTTTGATTAAGGTTATCCCTATAGTTTTTCGTTACAGATATAAGTTCAATTTGAATGGAAGCATTTAATTATCTACTCAATATAGTCTTATGAATTAGTTTTTAGCCATTTGTCTCTAGTTAGGAATCTGAAGCTATCATGGCTTTCCTCACACCTATCTTAATTTTGGAACTCATATTTTAGATTTTCTTCAAATCTTGATTCCTTATTTATAATAGTTTTTCACTTATATTCATACAATTAATGTTCCGTCTATTATTAGGTCATAGTAAAGGCCTATAGTCATTTATCATTTATCAAATTAGAAAAAGAGCAAAACTTAGTCACAAATCACTGTGGAGAAATGGCACAAAAAATGGAGAGAAGGAAATTTTTTTTTTTCCTGAGAAGGGATTAAACTTTGAAGATCGCTAAAGAAGGGCCTGATCAATTTTTTTGGTTTCTTCACATTGCGTTTTGAATCTGTTCATAATGTAGATTCGTTTTGTTTTTAGGATTTAGTATTTTCCAAGTACAGGATTGGATTTATTCTTTCAATTCACCTTCTTATGGTTATTGTTAGTATATTGAAATTAACTATTGCCACTCATCATTGTTAGTGCTATCAGTTACATTTGGGCTTTCTTACTCATAAACATAAACTAAATTACATTCCTTATTGAATAAAATTTATGATTGTGAGCTCAATTTGAACAATTGTCATCACCGATGCATGAATGTGGGAGAGAATGCACAGTCTAAGAGGGAAAGTAGAGGTTGAGTTGCTGTATTAGATTTCAGGATTATTTGATTTTTATAGACAACTACGAGGAGTTGATTTGATATTTTCTCTATGACGTAAATTTAGATCAACATTTACATGGAAGTTGAGTGATCATGCTCTGAAAGTCCTCAGTGAAACATAGATAAGCATTCCCACTACCAATTGCTGACATCTGCAGTGTTCCACTGCTATTTAGTCCAATTCTCCACTTGTTCTGTGCAATCCAACCTACTATATAGATTTGACCTACTTTCTAGCTGCCACCTGACTTGCTCCATCTCCACTGGTATTCAATTTCCTCAATTGTCCATTTGTTTCGGGTGCTGCCCACCCTACTATTCCAGAAGCATCAATACAGTGGATAATCTGATTCATTATGAAATCTATCTGGCATGTTTTATTCTTATATTTGCTATAAAATTATCTCCCTTATTAGTGTTTCATGGATTGCATCATAATTTGATGAGGCATTGTATTAAGCAATGTATCTGAGGAAGTTGGCCACTGACGGTCTGGGGTTTTCCTGGCAGAGGCTTACAACAGACTTTTACATAACTGATAGGAAGTCTGGCATCAGAGCTTTGGTGAAGGCCGGCCCTGATTGTAAAGTTATTCCCTTGATCGTCGAGAGCAGACTTGTGAAGACTACAGGAAAATGCAGGGTTCTATCTCCTCACTTAACAAAATGGTTGAAGGACAGAAACCTTTCAGCCGAAGCTGATTTACTTCGACTGGAAGAAGGGTAACACGTTCAGTCAGAATCTTATATTTTCCACTACTTGTGGCATTTTCTTTTTAAGAAGCTAATAAGCTGCATTTTGCATGAATTTTGGCAGATACGTAAAAGAAGGTACCTCTCTGAGTGTTCTCGGAATGTTGCAGAAAAATAATGATATTGTGATGATTGTTCAGCCACAACGAATCATTTCTGCAGGATGTTTATGGCGAAAGCTTCTTCTTCCAGTTGATGTTGATGGACTAATTCTTTGGATCCCCCGCATGGCCGATCCTTTGACCCACCTAAATTCTATGGAATGTGTACAACAGTAAGATCTGAATTGTGAAAGAGCAATCCCACCCGCAGCGCCCCC